ACCGACTTCACCTACGTCTGCCCCTTCACCGGCAATGACGAGCCACCTCCGCCCCCGCTGCTCCCTCCACCTCGGCCGTTCCTGTGACCACCACTGCTGCCCCCTCCACCACTTCCGCCGTCGCCTCCAGCAGCGCCAGCGCTAGCAGCTCTGCCACTCCCGTCCCCACCGGCGTCAGCGGCAAGCAGATGGGCATGACCTACTCTCCTTACACCAACGAGGGTGGCTGCCAGTCCAAGGACCAGGTCCTCAAGGATATTTCCGTCATCAAGCAGAAGGGCTTCAGTCACGTCCGTGTCTACTCCACTGACTGCAACGGTCTCGAGTACATCGGTGAGGCTGCCCGTCAGAACGGCCTCAAGTTGATCATTGGTGTCTTCATCTCCAGCACCGGCATCAGCGGTGCCCAGGAGCAGGTGACCGCCATCACCAAGTGGGCCCAGTGGGATCTCGTCACCCTCGTTGTCGTTGGTAACGAGGCCATCCAGAACGGTTACACCGATGCTTCCAGCCTCGCTGGCTTCATCTCCTCTTGCAAGTCCGCCTTCCAGGCCTCTGGCTACTCGGGCCAGGTCACCACCACCGAGCCCATTAACGTCTGGCAGCAGTCTGGCAGCGCTCTGTGCGGTGCCGTTGACGTCCTTGGTGCTAACCTGCACCCCTTCTTCACGCCGATGTTACCCCCGACCAGGCCGGTACCTTCGTTCGTTCCCAGATCAAGGACCTCGAGGCCGTCTGCAACAAGGACGTGATCAACCTTGAGACCGGCTGGCCCAGCCAGGGTAGCGCCAACGGTAAGGCCGTCCCCGGTACCGCCCAGCAGGCCGCCGCTATCAAGGCTCTCGTTGAGGAGGTCGGCTCCCAGTCCGTCTTCTTCTCCTACTCCAACGACCTCTGGAAGGATGCCGGCGAGTTCGACGTCGAGCGCTACTGGGGTTGCATCAGCCAGTTCAACTAAATGATCTCCCGTATGTCTATAGTTAAGGATATCTAAGGCTTGGAGTTTTTTTTTCGTTCTGCCTGTCTCGGAAATACCGACAGCTTTTATTAACTTTTTTTTCTTCATATACTTGAATTGAGTAGATATAACTTTCTATTTCATGTGTCGATCTCCTGGAGCATTCTGTTTTCTTTGTTTGTACATGTGCTAATCTATGATACGATCTGTAATTTCTCCTGTGTAGCCATCCTTCTCTTTAGTAGCATTCTCTTGTAAAATCCCAAGCAGACACCCGACTACTTAAACTGTTCAAAAGTGACAACCGTAGGAACATAATCATCAGAGTAACAACTAAACCTCCAGTCTGTCATCAAACATCTCTTAAACAGAACCCACCCAGTCCTACGCAGCTCGAAACAAAGTACTCCCCGTTAATACCCCGAGTAATAGTTTCCCACAACCGCGAACGCATGTTGATTGATGGGGTTTCCCATCGGGGACAACCCCATCACAAGCATAAGCTTATCAACGACAGTACAGTAACAAAGCCCCATATAGGAGCAATTTACTCGAGTCCCCATTCCCAAGCCGCGCGCCTCGTCTGGCAAAGGGGTTCATTCCCCATATCGAAGCAACCACTTGTCGATGTTTGGAGTCATGCGAGAAGCCTAGCAAGCACACCGCGTGGAATTGGCAGGCGAACAGTGGAACAAGTTTTAAGCCATCTTATCTCAGAGACTGAGACAGAGGGTGCGATGCGCGGGCACACTAACGATCTCTCCCAATCTCCCCTGCTGGTCGCTGAGTGTTGGGTTATTCAACAGTCGATGCATGCAGCGGGGCATTGCATGTAAGTATGTGGGTTCAGAGCAGTAGGTTGACACTGCCAGGCTCCAACAGGTTAATAGAATCTTGATTGATTTTGGCTCATTGAGCGGGTTGGCACTTGGTGAGGTGATAGCCTCAGGAGAAAACTATCACTAAGCATCACCATATTTCCCATGGTGGTATAGTTTCGCATGGAGAGCTAACTAGCTCTATATCAAGAACGCTAGGGCTGAGGTCTCAGGATGCTCTTCTCGTCCGTGGATATAGGGGAATGGGAGAAATGCCCGAAACCCAAGTTTGTATTGGAGTATTGCACAAGGGTCGTCCCTCCCTCCTTCCCATGGCGCCCTGTTAATACTCAGATGTCCATAGTATCCTCAATTCACCAATCCTTTTTCAACTTCATCGAAGGCGAGATGAGTGCGATTATTTTAGCCATCTCATACAGCCGTCTCCATTCGAGTCCTGCACCGTAGATTATGCTTCCTGTATTTCGACGTCCTCCTCCGTTTGGATATCATTAGGGTCTTAGCCCGTACTGTTAGCAATATTCGTTCACATCTCTGTCTGAATATTTTAGACATTGTAACTGATATCCTCGTCGATAAAAGTCGTCCGACATGGGAATAGAGCCCTCGTCATTGGAGGATCTATTAGACAGGGATCTGTGTGGCTGTAGGATAATTGACACGAGAGCTGTTGTATCCGGTATCCCTTCGAGCTGTTACTTATTCCCTTAGACTTCCGACTGAGCTTATCTAGGGCTCAGAGCCTAACTCCTCGACTCGCAAGCCGGCGGTAGATAACTGCAGAGAGCTCACAAAGATATCTTCAATATCGGCAGCGGCTATGCTACTTGCAAATTCCTCCATCTGATCATTCGGGAGCAGCGTCTAACAAACGGCGCAGCAACGCATGAGACCAGGAGAGCGCCCCGCGCGTTCTGCTTAGGGCCGGCCCATGTTCAAGGCCATATCTCGTACCCTGAGCAGAATTTGTAAGGGAGACGTTGGATATCAGTGTGATTGGCTCGTATATGGTTGTAGATTATCCCCGGGGGAAGCATCTGGCCCTATTGATAGTCACCCCATCATGTAAGGATAGACAGCAGTGGTTGCGAAGTTCGTGATGTCCCTGAGTGCGAGGTATTTCTGTCGCCAATAACTCCAGTCCGCTGAGGATGGGCTTTTGTTGGAGCCGGTGGGCCAGAAAACAGTTCTTCACCTTCCTGGGGGATCTAATCCTGATCCTCTGGGAAGCCTTGCCTTAAGCCAGCTATGGTGACCCTTCCGTAGATGGTGGAACACCGAACAAGCTATAGCTGGCCATGATCGCTTGGTGTGCTTGAGATCAAAAGTATCAACTTCGTGAGTTGATATATATAGTCACCGCGTCAGTGGCGGGTGTTTGTTCTAGTCGGCTTTTCATTCCTCATTTGGGGCCCGAGCAAGTAGAATTCGAGGCCCTGCTGACGTGAGTCACTTCTTATATCGAGCATCCGGACTATTAAACATAAAGTTAAAGTCGGGATTCTTCTTTGGGCAGAAAGACTGTCAACCATGATGCATTGACTCCAGTTTCGATCAGACATGCATTGATTGTTGGATCTAGCCCCAGAAGCCATGGTTCCTGATGGGTATGTATGTTTGATAGAAAGTTCTGAGCTTCCGACACAGTCTTCCTATGCAGCAGGGTGATGCGTTAAATGTATGACATCTCATGAATCCGTGGATGTATGATAGCCGAAGAGTAAGTGCATGTCACCACCGCGAAGAATTGCGGTGACATCTCTTGCATCGTTCAGTGTACAGCTGGATAGTGACTTGTTTCGCCACGGATGGGTGTTGGCCCAGGTACGACACGTACACAATTACATGGCCAATGTCGCTGACCATATGTGTATCAGTACAGTGTAGTAGTGTTTGTAGTCGGTTACCTCATTCCCCAGTGTTTCTGGACACAAAAGCTCGAGCAACCCCGTCAAGGGATATCTAGGAGGTATTATAGGGCCAAGCCAGAAAGGATCACAGATATCGACTATGTCGATCGTAGGGGTTGAACCGATCTACCACCTCCTTGCAGCAAAGATAACTAACTCGGAGATAACAGAGCAGCACAAATCGTGTTTCCGGGGTCACCTCCAGTCGTGCATGACGTGGCTTGAATAGTGATACCCAATATAGGAGCCACCGTTGGTAAGGTTTAGTCTGGTGTTAATCGAATCGTGAAAAGTAACTTTGCCCCTGGCCCTGGTGGTCCTTTCGATCTTTGCCATGTCTGGGCGTTAAATTTCCCCCCCCCCCTCGAAAGGGGAAAGTATAGAGGGGGCTCATGTGGTCGCGCGAGCCCTGGAACTTTGGAGTAGAGTTCCAGAGTCGCTCTCTTGATCTAGGTGGGCTAGATAGAGCATGTATTCGTGGCTTTGAGACAGGTCTCACGGTCGGCTGAGACCGTGCTGGCGGTTGAATGCCACATGTGTTCAGTCAGTTCTCATCATGTGAGGTCATGTCTGTGGTCTCTAAGCCAAAGTACAATAGGTCTTCTGGCTGAGAGGATGCAGAGTGTCTGTGTGGATGATGATGATGATGATGATGATGATGATAATGATGCTGCTCGGCTGGGGCAGAGCTGGCTCTGGGAGCAGTGTTATGTTGTATGAGAATGCTATGCACAAGCCTATTTGTATGTGTTGTGCTCCCTTTGTAGATGGATGCTTCTGTGGGGATGATAGACTATAGAAGCTAGGAGATAGTAGATGGGGATGACTCTGAGGTTGGGCCAAGGCAGCTGCTCTCGTTGTCTCAGGGGTTCTTTTGAAGAAGAGCTTGACGTGACTAGGTTTTGTGATCAGGGAACAAAGAAGAAGGATTGTAGCATCGCCAGGGCGATGGATTGTTATTATATGTGATGACCGCGTGTGGATTCACATTCGACCCATGTAGAATGAGGTAATATTCCCTGAATTCTATCGCACTCTGCATTCACAGTAAGTCTGATAGGTTAAAGAAGGTATATATTGACATGTATTAAGTAGTAAATACAAAGGTAATGGCTCCTGTTCAATTCAATTCAGCTCGCCATCTCGATCCACATCCATTCTATAGGTCCGATGTATCTGTGCAAGCAAGACTGTGGTTGTATGCGTTATTCACAATGTTTAATAAGGGTGCTGGCACGTCTGTCAATTCAGGTATTAGTTCACCTCCACATTCCATTCTTGCTCCTGACGTGACAGCATCGGCAACTTACGAAGTCACTTCCACACTGGAGAGGTGCGCAGCACGAGAAGGGCCCGGCGGTGCCGTTGTTATTGCAGTAGCGGTCAACCTTCAATTTCCGTTTATATTAGCATGCAAGCGCCGTGACAGGGGTTAGGTAGAGCCAGTGAATGTGAAGGGTACATTCAATGGCCAAGAACGAGGAGACATACACCCTCGCATAATGCCTGAGTGTTAGCTTCAGCAGGTCTGGCGACAGCGACACTGGCCATGAGAGCGAAAACAGCGAGGAGACGCATATTGAATCGATAAAGATGAGGTGGATAGATCGGTAGACAAATAGTTGATATCTATCAGTCGCGACAGCTGGTTAGCTTATTATCATCATTACCCGTTGGGCCATCCCTTGGGTCAAATTAGGGTTGGAGGAGGTTGGTTGGAATGAAGCAAACATACCAAACGAGCACGAGGGCGGAAAATCGTGCGAAGACCGACTCAATCTACAGGTCCAAATGGGAGGGAGGAAGGAAGGTAAAACAAAAACCCCGGATAGGATGCGCCGCCTCTTTATACAAGGAGAAAAATTAATCCTCCCTGGTGCAGCTGTGGAAATAGCCGCCAGCCTCTCCAACCGAATATATTTAGAAGCCTGCAGCCCCAGGGGCGTGAAACGCGCGATCAACAACAACAATTCCAAGGATGCTGCAAGCCATTGACCCGTGGGGCAAGGCCCAACTGGTTTCAGCAAGTGACAGCTCGCTCATCTCTATCTGCGGAGTCGATCTGCACCCTGGGGTCTAATAGTTTGCGAGGGTATTTCTTGGCACCGGCTGATTGTTACTGTGTCTGTTGGGGTGTGTAAGGGATGAGTCGGCCTCTATGGAGTAGGGATCGTCTGTTAGAAAATCGAAAAATAGGGAAAGATGGACAGGAGTTCCAAGTCGCGGTCAGTGCAGGTACACCATGACCACCGTTATTATCTCAGGGGTTTAGGAGTATCGGTAAGGAACCGATAGCATGTGGTTGGCTGATACATCCAAATGTTCAGTTACTGGTTATTGCTGGGCTGTTAGGGATCCACTGCTTCAGGATCGTGACGTCTTAGTCCACTGTGGAGCGTCGGAAGATAATCTTAGCAACATTTTCTTTGCTTTTGATCAATCATTGAGGTCGGCTAGACTTTTGCGTGAGACGAATTCGGAATGCTGCGTTGGATGACGTCACCGATTTTCGGCGCCGTCAGTCAACCGCATTCATATCAACGCGACTTGTATAGCTCAAGGAGAAGTATGAAAGGTAAGTCCGTAAAAAGAAACTGAACCGATTCATTAGTGTTTCGAATGGATCCAATACGCCTTCGAATAAACCACACGATGTGCAAATCAAGCAGTACGAAATATTGCAACACAACGACTCAGGGTATATCCAGGGCCCCCATATGTTCTGATGTCTCGCAATGTATTGAAACGAACTTCTCGAGGATGAACATGTAACATAGAATGGAACGCTATCGCGTACAGAAACAGAAGTTGTTCGCAGAACAGTCGGACGGAGCTATATACGGAGATAAACCGATGCCAGAGCTCATGGAGAATATGCAAAATTCGGTGAGAATCAAATAGAACATTGCCACAAGTGTGTCGCTGCCATTATGTATTATTCCAGTATGTGTCGTGCGGTAAGAAGCGAGTCAAATGATATGCAATGCAAAACTCAATGTAAGCTGTTTCGTAACGTGTCTCAAAAAATGCCAAATCGTTTTGTCTTTGCGCCTTCTGTTGCCCCCACCCAGTTAGCAACATATCCCGAAAGTCGTCAAGATCATATGGGAAGCATACCCTTTTTTCCCTTTTGTCCACGGCTGTTGATAGCAGCTTGTGTTGGATCCACACCATCCGAAGCAGCTCGGATGGCGGCAATTCGCTGCGTCGCTCGAGCATCGCCCTGGTCAGCCGCTTGTACGTACCAGACGTTGGCTGCCAGAATGTCACGACGACAGCCAATACCCATTTCGGTAAAATATCCCACTGCATACTGTGCTTTCGCCAGTCCTGTAATACGTGGCAATTAGTAAAGGCTTTTGAGCGTCAGTTCAACGCCACGTACCAGTTTCTGCTGCTCGCTTAGCCCATTCGTACGCCTCACTCTCATCTTTCTCTAGCACAGGCTCAGCACCAACCAAATACCATGCACAGAGAGCCATCATGGCCAATGGATGACCTGCCTGCGCAGCTCCGGTATAAAAGTGAATGCTCAGGGCGGGGTCACGAGGCAACTCAGTTTGCCATGCTCATAAGCGTCCCCAAGGCGATAGCTTGCCTCGACATGTCCCAAATCTGCCGACTTTGTAAAGAGCTGTGCTGCATAGGAAGGATCCGGGAAGACATCGTCACCGTATCCCTCTTCGTGCAGCAAACCCAGTTCATAAGGGGCAGAATTGTACTGTGAATCGGCGGATTCTGTGGCACGTTTCATCCACTTGATGCCTTCTCGATACCGCTTGCCGAGACCCATATCACCTGCCAGGCAAGCCTTTGCCATTCGCATCATGGCACCTGGATGGTTTTTCGACGCGGCTTGACGATAGAATTGTTGGGCTTTCGCCGCTTCAACTCTAGTTCCCCACCCAAATTCGTAGCAGAGCGCCGTACGGTAACAGGCTTCAACATGACCGTGCTTGCTAGCCGCGAGAAACAGGGGAAACGCCCGATCGTAGTCCTCCTTGCCTTTGCCGAACAGCCCCGATGCATAACCGTCGGCCAAGTAATATTGTGCAAATGGATAGCTGCGATCAGACAAGCGTTGCAGGATTGACTTGGCTTCTTTGAGTAGACTTGAGCGAGTGATCTCCGGCTCTTTTCGACCATAGACGGCTGCCGCGCCCCCTTCTAGTGTATCATCCGGCATGTCCAACATGGCATTGACCATAAACACAGCAAATTCATATTGAATCGCTGGGTTATCCGTCTTCTTGACATTGGCGAGATACATGTCAAAGGTTTGCTTATGGCTGAGCAAGGACGCATTGTTCCCGACAGATGAGCGGAGGTGTGCATTACCAAGTTGCACTGGCGCAGGGCCTGGTTGAGGATAAGGTGTATTGAGGAGATCGACGAAGGATAGTGGTCGAACATCGGGTGATGCACTGGACGACGAGCGCGCGTGAAGATACGGAGATGCATGAGGAGACCCGTTCCGTCCGTCGAGGTCCGATCCGAAAGAGTACGCGGAGTGCGGTCTGCGAGGCTTGCCCACGGTGAGATGGCCGGTTGTACTGACGGAATTCTCTGCTGATCCTGCCGGAGCAGCCTCAAAGGTTTGATACGGACGGTGATGGTAGTGTAAAGGTTCATAGGTCTCTGGTTCATGAACCACACTATCCAAACTACCGCGCGATGAGTCGTTCCGACTGCCACTTGGCGCACCTTGATCCAATGACGAATCACTTGTCTTTGCCACATTGGTCGGTTCGTCTTTTATCTGGGCATCTACGACCGACCAAGAGCCACTGCTGGCAGGCGTATGACGAATGGGCGCTCCACCACCACGTGTGGCAGCATACGAATCTCGTCGTGGCGGGAATTGAGAACTAGCACCTCTTGCATGCGTATGCGGCGGATCTTCAATTGACATGTGAGCGAACGCAGAGGTGGGAATAGGCGGTATATCGTAATCGTTCTCAGCTGCGGCATTCGGCACTTGTTGCTCTCTATCCCCGTCAACCCGGGCAAAGGGTTCCCGATTTCCAGGAGCAGCCGGGAGTGGTTTCCGCGAAATGCTCATGCTCAATGGCCGTTTGGAGGTAGTTGGAGAGGTAAACTCCTGGTGCGGAGGGGGAGGGGGTGGAGAAGATCGAAGGTAAACCGGAGGAGGGGAAACCGGCTGAGGGTATTCACCTGTCACAGGACTAGCCATTTTCATGAGCAGCTGTATCACTGACTCTCACTAGGCCCTCTAAAGCTTTGCAGATATATACAATGCAGGCGTCCGTACTCCTAATGTGACCGGTCCAATCGTCAGACGCCGGAGAAGCGGAGATCTAAGTACGGTGCATAAAGGCCGTCATCGGGGAGAAGAGCTATTATAGCAGTCAAGCAATCCAAAGCCAGCCCAGAAGCGAAAGAAATTCAGGCGCTGGCCGGAAGGTGGAAGAGAGATATGTACCGTGGAGAACTGGAGGACGGCTGATGGGTCGACTGTAGAGGAGGTTGGGGTCCACTTGATAAACGTTAAATCAAACAAATTACTTTTTGGCAGTTATGAAGGTACATGAAAGACAGCCCATACCGCAATGTCCAAGGGATTAACAGAGAAGATGGAAACGAGCGAGAAGGAAGAACAACAATGCAGACCAAGCGAAGGTGTTGAAGTAAAGAAAAAAACAAAATGGACAGATGTAAGAGGGAAGGAGAAAGTTCGATTGCTTTTTGTCAATGGCGGAGATGCCTTCGGGATGATCCTAAAAGAAACTTAGTATGTATTAGGTTGAAGGGTACGGGCAATACCCCGTAGTATTTCTTGTATTCGTACCGAGTAGGTGCTAAGTAGTGGTACTTTCTTAAGCCGCACTAGCTTCGTATTATAGTTCTATTCTAAAGACGGTGGCGGAAGAGAAGATGACAGAGGGGGAGAGAAGGGAGAAAATAAAAATACGCCGTACAAAGCGGGAGAAAAAAAAGAAAAGCAAAGGAAAAGAAAAGGATATTACGAACACCCCCACAGTATCCGTCGTTGCTCTCTTTTTTTATATTTTTTTTATCTATTTTTATTCGTATTTTTT